TTTCATCGATGTATCACACTTGGGGTCTAGCGGAAATGATTACAGAGATATAGGGTGTGAAAAATCGACATTTTTCAACTTGAGGAATTTTTTTTTGTCGAAACTATTCATTATTGGTCAAAACGGCTTACATGTCCCTATCTCAACTTTTGATCAACTATCTACTGATATTTAATTGGGACATATACCGGGTGATCAAGATTCTGAATTCTGCACCACCCTGTATTTGTTTCAATCAAATGTCAGTAGATAGTTGATCAAAAGTTGGGATAGGGACATGTGAGCCGTTTTGACCAATAATGAATAGTTATATCTCTGTAATCATTTCCGCTAGACCCCAAGTGTGATACATCGATGAAATCAGCTCTTCAGAGAGAATCTGAAAATGCGATAAAATACAGGGTGTTCTATTTAAAATAACAAAGTTGTTGCTACTTTTCGATAGAAGCGGCAACGCCGCAGAGCTGAAAATATTTTAGATCGATAGATCAAAAGCAATTACTTGAGTAACCAGATTTTCAGAATGATCTTATGTCCCGTTCTCCGTAAACGTCTAAGGTGCCATCGACCGTGACCCACCCAGTATACCTATTCATCTTTCTTGTGATTCATTATGTGAACACTAAAGAATTATAATCTCAATTTTATTCCACAACATCCTCTTTGTTATATTATATTTTTCATTTTGTTCATCAAACTTCTATAAAAAAAAACTGGTGTGCGTAGAACTTCTATGCTATAGGTACACTGCTTATATGATTATGCCGGTCTTATGGTACGCGGCACCCGGGACGCGAGTTTGTCGTTTTACTCCCATCCCAGAAAACGTCCAACGTGCCTATAATAGTTATTTATGTATCAAGGGCGTAAAATAGGCTTTTATGGACCGCAGCGTGTAAGTAATAGACCGAGCGATAGCGAGGGCTATTAACACGCCTAGGTCCATGAAAGCTAATTACGCCCGAAATACATACAACATTTTATGAACGACCTGTATATATTTGATATCTCATGTAGGTATCTCTTCACCCCTCAAGCACAATAAAAATACATCACGGTTGCAGTGAGACTGTATTGTATCCATATCGCAAATACAATTAATCAAGAAGTATGGAATCAACGTTACCATGGCAACTCAGTCAATTTTACGAAATAGGAATTAATAGGCCAGTAGCCATATTAACTGTCAATTTGTGTAGTCATACATAATTCATTAGTGATTTCAAAATGAATTCTAGTGATGAAGAAAGTGTGAATTGTACTCCACCAGAAATTAGTGAGGCAGCTGAGGAAGCAAAATCGAGTTTATTGCCAAGTAAATCAAAAAAAATATACGACAAAGTATATACGAAGAATTCGTAAGCTGGTGCGATATGACAGTGACATTAGCTTTACCACCAGCTCAATGACTTTATCGCCCGCCGGGCGGTAAAGTAGTCCGCGGGCGGTAAAGTGCCACTTTACGCCCGCAAACCCGGGCGGTAAAGTGCTACTTTACGCCCGGTCGTGCATAAAATTTATTATCACTCCAAAAATGTGTCATGGAAAATAATCCAAAGACCTGAAAGATTAGGAATACTTTTGAGTCTGAAGGGCGGTGCGTCCATCATAGCACAGGCGGCAAATCACCTTAAACCGGCACTACATGAAAATAGTTTAGAATGTGAAAAAATATTATATTCTATCCTTATTATATCAACTTCGTGGTAGAAAATTATGGTTTTATCGATAAATTTATTATCTCCGAGTACTTTTACATAGGTAGGTAAGGGAAGGCGCACGAGGCGGCAAATCAAGCGCAGTTCTTCAGTTCAATTCCAAGAGAACAATGACCCCCCTCCCCTGACTTTACTCACATTCCTCCTGTAACCACATTATACAGGGTGTCCCGAAATTAGCCTGCCAAACTCCACCAGCGACTTCTTCGACCAAAAATAGGAAGAAAAGTTTCAATGAACATGAGTCGAGAAATGTCTTCTAAGGGAGCTACGGCCCCCTGAAAGGGGGGCTCCTGAAGATGATATTGCTTGAATATTTCCGAAACGCCACGTAATAAAATGATGCAATTTGGCACAAGGAATAAACTTTCCATGCCGAATGCGGTGAATATAAAATCATTTCAGAGTTTCATTCAGGAATGTATAATACAGGGTGGATTTACATTGAATATTGCTCAAACTTTCTCGTGTGCATAGTTTTCGACAATTTAATCTCTGATTATGAAAATCCACACCATTTTTCCAAAAAAAGTTCTCCTGTTCCGCATCGATCAGATGTAATATTCTCGAGTGAAATCGAATTAAAAATATTGATGCACTGACATCTTATGCATAACGTTGCCAATTTCCAAATCATAGTGGCTATTAGAAAATCAAGTACTTTTTTTTTACCAAACAATCTCATGGAAACGCAAAAAATAATAAAATTATGATGAAAAAACTACTTCAATTTGTGTGCATTTTTTTTTTCATTTCCACTACGCCTCATTGCAATGGTATGCATATAATATCTGAGATGTAACAATATTTTTAAATTGCTTTCACTCGATAACAACACATCCGATCATCACGGAACAAGAGTACCTTTTTTCTGTGGAATTTCATAATCCGAGATTAAATTGTCGAAAAATATGCATACAAAAAATGTTGAGCAATATTTAATGCAGATTTCGATTTCCCAGGTTTGTATCCATATTATTCTGATTGCAAAATTTTGCTCACATGAATATTGTGTTTTACGTTTATTGTCATATTATTCATCCGATTTGAAGAAGAATGTCAATTCTCAATTTCGGAGGATTTTATTCTTTATTTTTCATGTTTTCCTTTTGATTGTTCATCAGATATAATTCAATGTTCGACGAGTCAAATAGCCAGGAAAGTAGTTGTTTTCTGTTGAATATTCAGAATGATGTGTGCATATACATATTTTTGTCTGAAGGAGAATGCAAATTCTCAATTTCAGAAGTTTTTATATTTTATTTTCAAACTCTTATCGTGTGTTCAATAGATATAATTCAATGTTCGTCGTGGCACATAGCCAGGAAAGTAGTTGTTTTCTATTGAATCAACTGAGAAAGAGTAAATATTCTCATCACATAGAGAATGCGAATTCTCAATGTATTGCTTTATATAAATATATATCCATTTTTGTATGTTCATAATTTATCTGAGAATATTCCTTTTCAACACATGATAGCTTCATTTTTACAAAGAGTTCTTGGAAATATGCAAGTACTTACCTGAAATATTCTCTTCGATTTCACTTTCGTCTACATTTCGCGTAGACTTTTGATGAAGAATTCTGATACAAACAGAAATTGTTTGAATAATTCTGATTGCAACAAAATTTCAAAATGACAATTGGCAGTTCCTACATTTGACAGGACGGACAGGACAGGACTCAAACGACTGAAGGTGCGTGTTTTTCAAATCTATGTTGCCATGGTAATGTGTTTAAGAAATTGTGTTGCTTTGGTAACGTGTTTAATTGTTTGAATCAATCACAATCATCAATCCGTGATTAGTCGATCATTTAGCAAAGTACGCTATAATCTATTTTAGTTTTGTGAGAAGAAAAAATAATTTTATGCAGTTCACAGAATAGATAGACGAAAGAGCTAGATGATATTCTTCTTCCAAAAAAATAATGTATCCAACAAGTCTCTTGTAGGAAAATAATTATATGCATGGTTGAAGAAGTTTGATATTTTGAATTGAGAATGGA